GCTGACCCGGGAAGCGGCGCCCTCAGCTCTGCGAGCGGCCGCTGGGAGCGGAGGCAGCAGCGGGCTTCGGGGCCGCCCGGGTCGGTGCTGCTCTGCTGCCCGGGAGCTGGAGACCGGCGGAGGCGGGCGGTGATGGAAGTGTGAGGAGGCGGAGACGGGGCCCGGGGACTGTGAGGCGGCGCGTGGCGGCGGCGCGGAGCGTGAGAGGCGAGGAGCAGGGGTGGGGGCGCTGGAGCAGCGGCTTGGAGCCCCGCTCCCCTGCCCCCCGACGCGGAATTGGCCGCCGGCCTCGCCTCGGGTGGACGCCTGTCGACCCCTTCAGCCCGGTCCTCCGCCACTCGGCCCGCCGAGGGGCTGGGGGCAGTGTGCCGGGGGCCGCGTGCGGCTTGGCTCTCTGATTCATTCATTCTCCGCGGACGGGAGCCTGAGACCTGCGGTGCTCCGAAGAGAGGAGGAAAGAGGGGGCAGCAGCGAATGAAGGGCCGGGCGCGAGCGGGGCTCCTTTGTGCTCGGCGGCGGGGGGCAGGAAGGGGCTGAGGGAGGTGGGATCGGGCCCCCTCCCCCTGCTCTCTGGCGTGCGCTGCGCCCCCAACCTGCTGCCAGCCTGGAAATGGCTCCGTTTATTCTCCTCGGGAGAATGAATCGATCCTGCCCTGTCTTCTCTTCCTCTTCCCCGCCTCCTCTCTGCTCCGAGTCTTAGGAGGGGAGAAATTTGAAAGACAGATTCCAATGTGGAGTGCCATGCACGTCGCGAGCTGCCGGGTTTGCACTTCGGGGAGATTTTTCTATATAGCTTTTTCTAATGTGAGCGCCGGGAAGCAGCGGCATTACTGCTTGTAGGATTTTTATTTTCTCGTAGAGATCTCTAAAGCGCACGTCGCATTGGGTTGCACGCTCCACCCCCAAGGACTTGGTGTGGTAGAGAAATTTGAACCCGCAGCCTTAGTAGCACCGAAAACACCGAGTTACCTGGCTCACCGTGAGTGTGGAGGATTTGAGCGAAATGACCACCGAACTCATTTTTTGTAGGACTCCGTGAAGCTGGATTCTGCGTTTTCCTACACTTAGACTCCTTTTGTGGAATAGAATTGACCGCTGTCTCTTCCGCGCAACATTTTAACTCTAATAAGCAAATGCCACCTTTGTTTGAACATTTTGGAATTTACGGGAGAGAAATCATTTTACCTAAGGGGACTAATTGAATTGTCAGCATTACTGAAATACCTCCAGAAAAGGACTTCGCGGGGTGGAAAAGCAACTGCGAAATAGACGGAGAAATTCCTTTGGAAGTTATTCAGTATCATAAGAGCAGAAACTTCAGAGCAAGTTTTCACTGGGCAAAATGGGGTAAGGATTTTTGTGCTTAACACAGCTTCGAGTGTGTGTGTGTGTGTGTGTGTGATTGAGAGGTAATGGCGATTGTGTTTTATGTTTTCAAACAAATTTACTACTTTGCTAAGCTGGCCGTATAGGTAGGTGTGATTAACCTTTTAACAAGTTTTTTTTTTGGTAGAGTGATACCGGAGGTCATAATTTAAAAACATACGTTAATAATGTTTAAGACAACACACTTGCACTTTACTGGTCAAACTGCCGCATAAGTTTGTAATCAAAATCATGTCTTAGGTTTTGTTTTATCTGTCTTAGGTTTGTTTCAAAGAGAGGTACAATACTGCCTTCTCTCAGTACTTTAAGAATAATTAGTTGCACAAAGAAACAACTGTAAAGGAATGAGTGGTTAGATTACAGTCCTTGAAAATGATCCAGTGTAAATTGTTGCCCTCTCAGTGCCCTCTGCTTTTGCCCTTGAATATCCAAAACTAAAATGTGCAGAATTGATTTATTGGGGCTTTAAAACGAAAATCTGAAAGTCTTAACTGATATGGTCTCTGCAGTGCTGGTGCACTTGGTAGATCATAGCCTGAGTAGGAAAGCTTTTTTTTTTTGAAGGAACTTGTTCACTTCTGTTTCATGCTTTTTAAAGCTTAGGTATTTAGTTTGTGTTAACAATATCAGATCTTCACCTTCTTTCAGATCCAAAGTCAACCGAGAGTGCATTTTCCAACCTTTTATTAACTTTTCGCACAGGAATTTGATAAAATGCTAGTGACTTCCTAATTTAAGCCAGAAACCTGTAATATATTAATGGAGAAATGATCTAGTCATTTCATTAACAGATTGTTGATGCTTTTGGTTAAAGAGAGACTTCCAGAATTTTCTGTCTGTGTGTCTCTCTCACTCTTGTGGTTGTAGAACAAACACATGTAAAGTGATGGTCGTTGAAAGGAGGATATACTTTAAATTTATTGTGACAGTTTTGGGCTGTGCATACCTAAAGTTTCTTGGAACTTTCAGAGGAAAGTTCTTAGATAATAGTATCTTTTTGTTGGAGTTAGAATTTGACATTTATTAACTTAAACAACTTTGAAAATGTAGAACACATGTCGTAGGAGTCCATCATCAGGAATTAAAGAGAAAGTAATAATTTTGAAATTTAAATGACAATTGATGAGACCATATATAACTTGCATGATTTGGGGTATTGCTAAGAGCAATTAAAATACCTCATTCTATTTCTAGTGCTGCTACTAGTAGCTTTATGATCTGAGGCAAATTAACTTCGATGGACTCTGTTTTATCTGTAAAATGAAGGACTAGTTGAGTTTGAAAATTTTTCTAGTCTATAAAAGTGAATTGTTTTCTTTTTCTCCTTTCTATTTTAATGATTACTATTTGGTTTCTTGAAGTTAATCTTTCAGATGGAGAGATTGTTTTCTCTCAGCAGTTTTCAAGCATGTAAGCTGGAAAATGATGGCATATGAAAAATATTTTGGATAAATTGCACCAATTTTAATAAAATACTGAAACATACTACAATTCGTAATCTTTGAGATATGGCTTCTCTTGAGAATTTGCAGCTCTTCTGTTTAAAACATGTCACAGGAAAAAAATCAAGTGGCAGCTTTTCATGTTAAAGGCTGCATTCTCTAGGCTATGGAATGTGACACCATGGAAGAAAATCTGTTTTCCACAACCTTTAAGCTGCATGAATGCTCATCATTTTACTAAGGGAAGCTTGGGATGAACTTAGTACTAAGGGAACTGGTATTTAACATACAAAATAAGCCCCCACATACAGCACACGTTTTAGATACTTCAGTGTAACTAAATTTGTTTATAAACAGTTTTATTTGCCCTTTTCTTAATAGTCTTAAAGGTGGGCTGGAGAGGAAAAGAAGTGTTTATGGCATTTTTCTGAAAGTCTATATTGGGGCTATGATTTTTTCTCATTGATAGTGACTTGTTTTAGCTGAGTTGTCAGGAGAAGATGATTGTTGGAGAAAAGGAGAGCATACAGAGAAGGCATTTGTGGAAGTTTCTATAGTTGGTAGGTGTTTATATTTATACCTAATAAGTGCAGAATAAGCATAGTCTCCTGCACCTATTTAAAACAAAAGAAAACAGCTTTAAATGGCCTTTAAAGTTTTACTCAGGCAATCCTAAGTTACTGGATCAGTATCTACAATTTAATATTTGGGTGGAGAGTTTCACATTTTATGAATATATTTTTGACTGTTAAGTTATAGTAAGAATTTATCTTTGCCTTAATTATGGATATAATTGCAAGTCTAGGGTCAAAGTTTATGCAAAAGGACTTTTTTTTTTTTTTTAAAGAAAACGGGTGATTAGTTTAGGCAGAAACAAATTTGTGGCTCCTGTAATAGTTTATTAACTATGGTGGAAACGGAAAAGAACAGCTGAAACTGACAGTTGGCAGAGTCTGTCAAAGTATCTTGGATGCTGCCTGCGCTGTTTTTAATGACAGTGAAGGCAGTTGAAGTTTTGGTTTGTGAAATAGGTTGATTAGACCCCCAAGAATTAGAGCATTCATGTAGGTAAGATAAAGTCTATGGAAAGCTTCAAAACCCAAGTGAGGAGCCCCTGTTAGGTATGACCCTCCTTCCAGGTAGTATCTCCTAATGAGAGCAGTGAGTCAGTTAGCTATTTCGGAACTATTAGATAGCATAGGCAACAGAAATCAAATAACTTCAGTGTTATTTCATGCTACCTTTTGTTTAGCCTCATATGGCAACTTAGTGCCCTCAACAAGAGAGTAGAGAATCCCCGCCCAATCCCCGCCCCCATTAAGAGTTATTTATAAAATGTGACTGCTAATGAGGTCTGATAATACTGTTTCTGATTTCTCTCACCTGCCTGTGGGAACCTCTGGAAACCCTCTTCTTCGCCATTCCCTAGATAACTTCCTAAAGCATGGAAATAGGTGCTGCTTCATTGCAACCTCAACTTGAGTCCCTTCTTTGCTGAGAGAGGAGGCTGACACTTCTTTTTTGCCTTAGGCTACTGGGTACTCCTCTCTGGGAGTTAATGTGTCAACAATGAGGAAATCTTGATCCAGCACTGCAGTATGAATGGACATTGTGGCTAAGGCAATCATTTCTAACATCAGAGAAGTTATATGCAAGTCCTTAATTCTGTATTTGTTCATTTTACCAATTTTGAAACCCTATCATGTGACATGTAGAGCAACAGCAGTTCAGTGTTGCTGATACAAACTAGTAAAATATGCTTATTTCCTCAGAGAGTTTATAGTTTAGAAGTTGAGAAGACAAGCCTAAAATTAAAAAGTACAATGAAATGTCTAAGGGGCTGTAATGTAGGTTATAATTCTTCATTAGAGGTACAGAGTGTGTCTGTGTGGCATTAGCTGCCGAGGAAAGGATAAAAAAGTTTTCCTTGAGGAAATAAATATTAAATAATGAAAGATGAGTACAGGTGGGTCTTGTAGACAAATGAGAGGGCATTCAAGGCAGAAGGAACAGTGTGATTGACTGAATTAAGACAAGAAACTACGAAGAAGTTTGGCCTAATGAACTTGAACTTGGCTCTTTGCGGATGTAGCAAGAGATAGGCCCTAGAGTGTTATGCAGGAGCCAGGTTAGAGGGCCTTCTAGACCAAACAAAAGCTTGTGTATTTCAAGGTTTGTTTTTTTTTAAAGTCTACAGCACCTGGTCTTCCTAGGTGGTCTCCCATCCAAGAACTAACCAGGCCCAACCCTGCCTGTTTAGCTTCAGAAATCAGGACTTGTTCAGGGTGGCATGGCCGTAGACAAGCTTTTATTTATTTATTTATTTATTTTTTGGCAATGGTCCATTGTAGTAAGATAACGTTTTTACCTTAAGTCTAGAGCACACACATATAAATAATAAAATGTCACAAAATAATACATTTTGTGTGATACATTCTGGTATTTCCTATTCTATTTTGAAGAAAGAATGACAGTTGGGACTCAATAAATTGATTTAACAACCCAGTGGTAGCAACTGGTAATAAATTGAAAAACACTGCTGTTGGCTGTGGGAACCACTAAAAGGATTTAAGCAGAGTCAATGAAGGGTCAGGGAAATAGGGTGATAAAAGTTTAAAAATCATTTTAAATTTAGTTTTGTAATTTGTGTCCTGTGGAAACACCAAAT